AGCCTGCCGTGTGGCCTCCCACGTGCCTCTCTGTGCTGATGTTCAAACACGGCTCCTGGCCGGTCAGGTCTGGGGTGCCCGTGCTGCCTCTCCCCTCCCCAAGGGCATCCCGGTGCTCTTTAGACATTGGGTGGCATTAGGAAGGGGTGGTGATGAACACGGCCTCAGCCCCAATAGTCTTCAGGAGCAGGATCCAGTCATCCCGGAAAAGCCGAAACACAAACTACATTCCCGTTGGAAGATCACTCTTGTTTTTCTTACTACAGTGAATAAAAAGGAAAGCCGGTCTCTGTCCTCCAGGGGTCATTTCGTAGAAAAAGAGGTGCAGGAGCTCATTAGCACAACTCATTAGCATAACTTATTTGCATAGACCACACCCCCTGACATCACCGGAAGTGTGTCAGAAGGCAACACCCACCGCTCAGGCTCCACTAGACGGTTTTGCATTGCTAGCTATTGGGGGGGGGGCAGATCTGTCCTCGCAGAGGAGGGAGAGCTTGTACCTGAATAAAACGTGGTCTTAAAGGTGCCACTGGACTGTTTTGGACTGGGGGCCGGGGGTGGGGCTCTGCAGCTTACCTGGCTGCTTCTTGCTCTGACTGAGGGCTGCTGGGAGCAGGGGGTGGGGCTTCTTGCATGTGCCCGCCCCCTGGGCTCTTTACTGCCGGAGCACCACTCCTGTGCACTCCTGCAGGAAATGACCCCTGCTGTCCTCTCTTCCATGATCTGAAGCAACAGAACAGAGTTTGAGTCCAGGGGCACCTTTAAAACCAAGACAGTTTAATCCTGGGGATGAGCTTCCCTGTGTGCACACTTAGTTGGTCTTCAAGTTGCCTAGTCTGGACTCTAGACTTCGTTCCGCCCTCTTTTGTGCTCCTGATTGTTTTGACTCTTAAGTCTTCAGGGCCAAAATAAGCTTGGGATCTGTGTGTGCACGAGGCAGCTCTGAGGGGCTCATTGTGGGCCAGGGGCTCTGGAGCAGCCGCTGGGGGGAGGGGGGCCGTTTGTCATGCCTGCCCTTTCCCCTCCCGGGGCATAAAGCAGCATCGGGGAGAAGAGCTGCCTCCCCCTCCCCTTTCCAGCCTCGATCCTGATTGGCCCCTTTGTGACCACTTTGTGGCCACCTCGTGGATCCCCAGAGCCGTGGGCAGCCATGGGGTCTTTATGGCAGCCCTGAGTAGCCGTGGCCCAAGAGGGGCTTGCCAGCTCTGGCCTGTAGATCGTGGGGGGGGGGAGTCCCCAGCACCTGTCTCACCCCGTGGAGGCTGCCCCAGGTGATTGGACTCTGCAGTGTGGAGATCAGTCGTGGCTCTTGGAGTATTGCAGGCCCCACCTGGAGGTTGGCATCCCTGCTAAGCCAGGGGACAGCCTGACTCTTTCTCGAATGACAGACTCTAGTGCTATGTTGCAAACTGTCTTTGAAACGGCAAAGTATCTTGTTCTGCACAGCGGAGAGGCAAGGGGGGGGGTAAGTGGAGTTCAAGAAAGGCCACGTCTTCACCCCTTCTGGCCGACGGGGCAGGTTTTGTGCTCGCCAGGTTCAGGCTGGTGTCCTTCCTGTGCAGGGTAGTGGATCTGAGTGGTTGGCAAAAGCAACCTGAAGAGGACGTGCCCAGGATTATCTTTAGCTTCTTACCTAGAGTAGCAATGAAAAAAAAACCACACAAAACTTTAGCCCAAGGGCCCATAAAGTTTGGATTAACACCTGTTCATACAGTTATTATACATATTATAAATTATAAATTAAACTATCGGGAAGGAATTCACTCCCTCCCCATTTTGGTTAACATTTCCATAAATGAATGAGAGACAAAACTGCATCTTTCTTCATTTTAGGCTGTCGAGTATAACATCTTTGAAGGCATGGAATGCCACGGAGCGCCCCTCATCGTGATCAGCCAAGGGAAGATTGTGTTTGAAGATGGAAACCTCCATGTAAATAAAGGAATGGGCCGTTTCATTCCCCGGAAGCCTTTCCCTGAGTACCTTTATCAGCGCATCAAAATTCGGAGTAAGGTAGGCTTGTGGCTGGTGCTGTGTTGGTTTCCTTACTCTCCTTGCTGTCCTTTGCTATCGTGTCCAGACTTTGGGACCCACGGTGAGGTGGGAAGCCTTTGGGTGAGAGAGGAGCCCGCGTGTCCCTCGCGCCTTCTACCCAGCCTTTGGGTGGCATCCCCTGCCTACTTACTCACCATCCATCTTGAGACACGAATTTCGCCTTTGCTGTCGGTCTGTCGAGTTGCTGGTTCACAGGAGGCAAAGCTGATTGTTGCTGGATGGGCAGGCCTGCAGCATTTGACTGTGGAGTTCAGGACAGCAGAGACTCTCTCAGCCAATGGCCCGGGGTGTGGCCTGGATGTTGCCAAAAACCATCTTGGGACAAACAAAGAAGTAAATGGAAGTGTTGCTGCTCCCCCTGGTGGCCATACTCAGGCATTGCCAGCTTCCGCCAGTTCTTCAGAACCCACCTTTAACGGAGGGATTTCCCGAGGGGCTGATCACCTGCCCTGGGGTTCTTGCTGTAGGAGCACACGGATATCATTATGCCACCAACCCAGAAGTGCCTTGCAATGCCTGATGGGGAGTGGGCTCTTCCCTGGCCCCCTCCGCCCTCCCTTCCAGGCTGAAGATGATCATACAGTGATATTACAAATTTAGAGTCCAGTGGCACCTTTAAGACCAACAAAGGTTTATTTGAGGTATGAGCTTTTGTGTGCACGCTCGCTTTATCAAATACATTAGAGTGGCAGTCAAGGTTCAGACTTCTAGCCAGGGAGTGAACAGTGGCGTCAACATAGACAGCCTCTGCATACGAGCTGGAAGTAGCCGTGGGAGTGTGTGACTCATTCACATCCAAGGTCACCTGCAGAGTGCATCTGTATTTGTGTATCTTTGTGTGTGATATTGCAGGTAACAGGACTACAAGGAGTATCCAGAGGAATGTATGATGGGCCAGTCTACGAAGTCCCAGCGACTCCAAAATATGCAACCCCTGCACCTTCTACTAAATCGTCTCCTGCCAAAAACCAGCCTCCGCCAATCAGGAACCTCCACCAGTCTAATTTTAGTTTATCAGGTGAATCAATGCAGCCGCTTGCGAGGAGCAAAAAATCTGTTTGGATCCATGTTTTGTTGGCAGAGGACGGGGGGCTTCCAAGCCGTCCCATAGCTGGCTCTGGCCCAGTAGATGGCTGCACTGCTGACTTGGGGGTTTCTAGACGTGCGGACGGTTTAGTGGGGTGGGTGAGTGTTGGATGTGCAAACCCAGCATTAAGCGGTGTGATTTCCAGGCGAGGGGGATTTTTTAAATCTTACGGAGGGAACTGCACTTCCAGGAAAAAGGAGCCTGGGCAGCACGTTCTATAATTTCATGGGATTTCATGGTGGCATGGCATATAGCCCGATCTCGTCTCATCTCGGAAGCTAAGCAGGGTGGGTACTTGGGAGGGAAACCACCCAGGATGGCTCTGCAGAGGGAGGCCATGGCAACCCACCTCTGCTTCTCACTTGCCTTGAAAGCCCCTTGCTGGGGTCACCAGGAGTTGGCTGTGACTTGACAGCACTTTACACACACACACACACACACACACACACAAGTCACAGCCGACTTCTGGTGACCCCGGTGTGGTTTTCAAGGCAAGAGACGTTTAGAGGTGGGCTACCGTTGCCTGCCTCCGGGTCGTGCCCATAGCATTCCTTGGAGCTCCCTCATTCAAATACTTTCCAGAGCCGACCCGGCTTAGCTTCTGAGATCTGGCAATCCTGGGCTGTGCAGGGCAGGGCTTCCTTTAATTGCCTGAGAAATGTTCCAGATCCCTCTCACGACACAGGTTTCGCTTGGGAACCATGCAGGTTAAAACACCAGGGCCTAGATACAGGATGTCCCCTCTGGACAGCAGTGGGGACCCTGGTTTGTGCTGCATCGGAACCCGGGCTAAAAGTCGCAGTGGGGAGCCCAGGGGCCCGTCTTCCATGGGGTGCCTGCAAGGTGAGGGCCTGCTGCTCCGGCAGAACTGTGCAGGGGGGCTGCCTTCCCCACATCTGTTTTTTGGGAAACCAGATTCTCTTTCCTAAGAACGGGTTAGGATCTAATTAAAGATCTCCTGTATTTAGCTTTTGTGACTGTTGGTGCCACTAAGTGTTGCATAAATGAAAATGAAAAGATCTGTGGACCATTTCCTCTTTACGTCCCTGTTTGTCTGTTGAGGTCGTCATTGGTAGCCCTCCTGTATTCTTGGCATCAAGGCACGCGGCAACTAGGAGCAGAGCCTGTTCGGTTGTGGCACCCTAAGCTTGGAATGCCAGACCTTATGATTTTCTGCCTAGTGCCGGGTTTGCTGCCTGTCTCTTGCTGGGCAAAGAATTGCTTATTCTCTGTCAGGTCTTGAAGGAACTCACTCCCAACAACACTCTCTTGGCAGTGATTTGTTTATTGAGAGATAAAGCGGTTTCAAGCATAGATGAGTCTGTGTCAGAGCCAGTTCTCCAGTTATACACAATTTAAACAATCCCACCCCGGTGACCAAACCAATCACACCCAGACATCCAGCCCACCAAAATCTACAGTGCATCATCAGCCCTCCCACAAACACCTGAAAATCTGCGTTTACATTATCTAGCAGTGTCTGGTACTCAAGGTCAAGCACGCATACTTCCCACCAAGGGGAGGCCCTGCATGGATGCAGTTACAAGCCAGTGCGACTCTCGGCCAAGCAATTCCACACATGCACTCATACACTCCTCCCCCACCCCCCAATTCCCAGCCAGAGTGAAACAAGGCAGTGAGTTTACAGGTACCGAAGACAGGCAGTTAAGAAACACAGAAACATATGGCAAATGAGGCCTGAATTTGACATTCTCCCAGGCTTACCTCTTCCTTTACCCTTCCCCTCTCTGGAACGCTGAACTGACTAGTTTACCTGCTGTGTCAGTTGATGGGTTTTTTTCACTTTAATGTGGATTTGAGTTATACTGATTTGATTTCTGTTTGCTGAGGACTGCTTGCTGATTTTAATTTGTGGCTGCTTGTCCCTTCATCTCTCCACTGTCCATGTGACTTGTAAATATAATGTGCAATCCTAAAATGCTTCTGTTAATGAATGCTTCTGTTAATGAATCCTAAGCATTGTGTCCAGATCACGGGAGGTTGTATTTCCGCTCTATTCTGCTACGGTCAGGCCTCACCTGTGTCCAGTTTTGGGCACCACATTTTAGGAAGGATGTTGACAAACTCAAGTGTGTCCAGAAGAGGGCAACCAGAATGGTGAGAGGGTTGGAGTCCAAGTCTTATGAGGAAAGGCTGAATGAGTTGGGTCTGTTTAGCCTGGGAAAGAGAAGGCTTAGAGGGGACATGATTGTAGTCTTCGTATTTGAAGGGCTGTCATGTAGAAGATGGAGCAGATCTCTCTTGCTCCGGATTGCAAGACTAGATCTAATGGGTGGAAATTAACAAGGGAGTCGATACTGGCTAAATATCAGGAGAAACTTCCTAACTGTAAGAATGGTTGAGCAGTGGAACAGTCTGCCTTGGGAGGTGGTGGATGCTCCTTCGCTGGACGTTTTCAAGCGGAGGCTGGACGATCATCTTCCGGGTACATTATAGGGCTATCTTCCGGCTATGCTCCTGCAGAGTGCGGGGGGTTGGACTAGACGACCTGCAAGGTCCCTTCCAACTCTGCACATTCTATGATTGTATGAATTCATTGTGTTTTTGTGAAGTCTGGTCATTTTGCTCCTTGTTAGGAACAAGTTTTCCCATTGGGCGGTGGGTGGGATAGGCGTATTCTGGAGAAGTGAAAGGGGCCACTAACCCTCTCCTCCCCTTCGGATTTGCTCTTTTGCAGGGGCTCAAGTAGACGACAACAACCCGCGTCGCACCGGGCATCGCATTGTGGCTCCCCCTGGTGGTCGCTCCAATATTACCAGTCTTGGGTGAGCTCCGGTAGAAAAGCCAGAAGGAAGGCGGGTGGAAATAATCTGATTTCCCTACTATGTCCTTGTTGTTGAACCCACAGTTTTATTCGGTACTATTGGAGAAAAAAAATGGAATGGTCTCCCCCCCCCCCTTGTTTAATTTTTGCATAGAAAGACGTCATCATAGTGTCGTGTGTTTGCTTGGAACTAATTGCATCACCATTGTGCTTCTGTACCATTGTCACCTTAAAGCATGGTGCTTCCATTACTCCCTCCCCTTTAGTGACTCTACTGCTTTTTGCTTTGTCTCGTAAGTACCTGATGGTTCCTTTGCACCTCCCCGCCCCCCCCAAGCCCCTTAGCTGTGCTAGAGTAGATGATGCATGTGACTAAGTTATTGATGCAAGCTGCTGTTTGTGAGTGAGTCTGTTTTAGAACATGTTGCCAACAATGAAGAAGACACAATGCCAAGAGAAGAAATGCCACAGAGGAGGAGGATGGATGGACGTTTTTAAAGTATGCAATAGACTAGGACTAGCAGATTTCTGTTGATATCTATTCCGTTCTTATAGACCCACCCAAGAAGCGTTTTCAGCACAAAGCTTTGCTACACCTGTTGGCCACTGATCCACGTAGTCTCTTTTGAGTCAGTGTCATTGTTTGTTCCTAGGGAGAGCCACAACTCCACACAGCGACACCGTTGCCGTCTTGTTCAGGGGACTTCCACATAATGGGCAACCGTGCTCGCCTTTGCATGACATTTTTTGGTACTTGCAAACAGTACAAGTTGCTGTTGAATTTTTAAAGTTTTTGTACAAAGTTCTTCTCCTTTGTAATCCACGTTCATTTTTACTTATGATAATGTATCAGATCGACTAGGTGTGTTTCATTTTCTGAACGGAAGGCTTGTGAAATAAAAGAAAAAGAAGTGTTTTGCCTCTTTTGGATTCCTGTTCAGTCATTTGCACCTCAAGGGATTTGGCCCAACAAAAACATGCAAAATATTCAGTATTTGTTGTCATCTCTTTGTGTGGATTTGCATGGGACTGACTTCCAAGTGATTTCTGGTCTCTCTTCTGAAAAAGGATTTTGAGTCTTGCTGCTTTAGAGAGAGATTAGAGACATTTGTTGGACTTGGTTTTTCTGATGGAGAATTATTGCCTCTTGCCTGGAGTAATTTCAAACTTGCTCCCTTTGAATTTGCTGAGCATCCAACATGCAAGACAGGCTTCAACGGGACTTAGCGTCATGTCTTGAGGCATTTGCCCTTCCCTAAACTCTGTATACACATTCTTGTTACATCCAGCCCTATTGTCAGGTTCAACAGCATGCAAATCTCCACACACGTTTCCAAGGAATCGTTATGCTTTATTAGACCAACAGTGGAACGCAAGCCCTCCCTCCTCCTCAAGGTTAGTCAGATAACCCAGTCTGGCAGCGCCAGTTCGCACGGTCTCATGAACGCCTCCCTATCACTGTTTACAGCAAGCGAGCAAAGCAAGCGAGCAAGCATGCGCACTCGCGCCACAGTCAGGAAAGGACAAATACAAGTGAAACATGGCAGCTAGCGGACATCCTGCCCCCTCAAAAAAAAAAAACCAACCCCCTCCCGGAGCGGCCGGGAGACCTCCCGGTTTCTCCGGGAAACGGCCGTGGAATCTACGCAAAAGGTCAGGGGCCCGAATATCCTTCCCCTCCACCCATTCTCGATGCTGGAGACCCCAATGCACCCATTCCACCAGATAATACAGTCGTCCACGCTTCATTTTAGAGTCCAGAATGTCTGAGATCTTGTAATGTTCTTCCCCCTCCACCAGGATGGGGGGGGGGCACTGATTAGTTTCTGGACTGGGTTTCAGCAAGCTGAAATGGAAGATTAGATGGATATGCAAGTCCAACTCTACTGTCACTTCATTAATCAACCTTACAACTTTAAAAGGACCAATGTATTTCCACACCAACTTCTGACAGGACTGAGAAAGCCGCAGATTCTTTGTGGACACATATACACAATCACCAGGCTTCAGAACCCAACCCTCCACCCATTTCTTGTCAGCCTAGTGCTTGTAAGCTGCCTTGGCCATGTCCAATGTCTCACATATCCTTGGCCACGAGTCCCTTAATGTTTTACACTAGTCGGATGCCTCACCCCCTTTCCCGGGTGTCGAGATTAGAAAGAGGATCGGGGGGCTGTCATAGCCCAGAGCTGCTTTGAACGGTGACACCCCTGTGGACGAGTGGTAAGCATTATTATAACAAAATTCAGATAAAGTCAGTAAGTCCACCCAATTGTCTTGTTGATAGTTTGTGAAGCACCATAAGTGTTGTTCAAGTGTTTGATTGACACATTCCGACTGTCCATCAGTCTCTGGGTGGTAGCCACTGCTCAGCTCCCGTTCTATCCCCATAGGTTCCATGAGCTCCCCCCAGAATCGCGAAATAAATTGGGCGCCCCATCCATTATTATCTTGGTAGGCAACGTGTGGAGTCTGAAAACATGTTTGAGAAATGCTTTAGCCAACGCTCGCGCTGTCAGCAAACTGGGCTTGCTTGGAGAACAAATCCACAACTACCCAAATTACCGTCATGGATTTGCTAGGAGGTAAGTCCATGATGAAATCCATGGAAATCACCTCCCACGGCCTACTAGGGGTCGGTAATGGTTTCAATAATCCGGGGGGTTTCCCCTTACAGGGTTAACACATGATGCAAGTCTGGCAAGAGTGTACATACAAAGATAAATCCTTGCACATGTGCGGCCACCAGAACTGGCGCTGTAGGAGATGCAGTGATTTTACAAAGCCTGTGTGGCCAGCCGGCTTAGATCCATGTGCCAGGCCCATTACCTCCCCCCGCAAAAGTCTTGGAACAAAAAGCTTTTCTTCTTTATACCAACAACCGTTCCCTCCTTGCACCAAGTCCCCCGCCACCTCCACCTCCTGTCTGTCAACCTCTGAAAAGGCGGTGGCAAACTTGGTTTCCCATCCCCCGGGAGGAGGGGGCAGGGGGAGGGTCTGTTTAGCTTGCCCTTGTGTCGTCACCACTCCGCCCAATTGAAAATAAATTGAAAGTATTATTAAAGTATTATTGAGAAGGCGTGAACATGGAATCTAGGACCTCCTCACGTCGGCTTTCGTGCTGCAGGAGGCGGAACAAGGCATCCGCCAGAGAGTTCGATTTGCCTTGGAAATGGAGAAGAAATCAGCCCACCGAAGTTGTTTGGCGTTTAGGTTTCAGGGAGTTTCGGGGAGTATGGAGGACTTCAAGATTTTTGTGATCCGTCCACACTTCAAATGGCACCCTCGCCCCCTCCAACCAGTGTCTCCATGTGGAGAGTGCTAGCCGGATGGCCCCTGCCTCCTTGTCCCACACTGACCAATTACGTTTGGTGTCAGTGAATTTGCGGGACATGTATGCTAGGGGATGGAGTTTGCCGCCTGCCTCCTCTTGCAGGATCGCACCGCCCATAGCCATATCTGAAGCGTCAGTTTGTACCACAAATTTCTTTGTTTCATCTGGGTGCGCCAACATGAGTTCGGTGGTGAAAAGAGCTTTCAATTTATCAAAAGCCTCTTGGCACTCAGGGGTCCAAAGCAGTTTAGCTCCCGGCTTAGCAGTCTCTGGTCCCTTCCCCGTTGTTTTCAGTAGGTTAGTAAGGGGCAAGCTCACTAGAGCAAAGTTTGGCAGAAAATTTCTATGGAAATTGGCAAACCCTAGGAAGCTTTGAAGTTGCCGGCGAGTTTTAGGGGCCTCCCACCCCAAAACGTCTTGTACCTTTCCCCGGTCCATTTCTATGCCACAGGGTGAGATGTGATAACCCAGAAAGTCAATTTCTGTCTGATGGAACTCACATTTTGACAGTTTGTCAAACAGTTTGTGCTTGTGCAACGTTTTGAGCACCTCCCTCACCAACTGCACATGAGAGGATTTGTCGGGGGAGTACAGCAAAATGTCGTCTAAGTAGACTAGTACCCACTTAAACAGGTGCTTGTGCAACACCTCATTTATTAAATTCATAAAGACTCCAGGAGCCCCCTAGAGACCAGATGGCATCACCAGGTATTCAAACTGGCCTAAAGGGGTATTGAAAGCAGTCTTGAATTCGTCCCCCTCCCGTATGCGCACACGAAAGTAAGCGTCCCGTAAATCAAGCTTGGAAAAGATCTTTCCCTTAGCTACTTCTGCCAAGAGATCTTTGATTAACGGCATGGGGTAAGCATTTGTGGAGGAGACGGCATTCAAACCCCCATCTTTCTTTTTCCGAAAGAGAACGGGGGCTGCAAACGGGGAAGAGGCTGGCCGAATGAAGCCTCTGGCCAGGTTTTTATCAATAAATTTCTGCAACTCCACTTTCTCCCAGGGGCTCATAGCATAGAGCTTCCCCTTGGGCATTTTGTGCCCCGGCAATAACTCAGTCGCACAGTCTGAGTTGTGGTGGTGGGGAAGCTCATCGGCTTCTTCGTCAGAAAATACTTGAGCTAGGTCTCTATACTCCCGAGGGATTTTGGCAAGTTCCTCGGTGGCTAAACACGCCCAAACTTGGTCGCTGTCAGGAGCTACACCCCACTTCAGGTTCCACACAGTTGGCATTTGGGGGAGATGAACTTGACAATCCTGTTGCCCCACAAAATATATGGATCATGCCCATGGAGCCACGGGTTTCCCAACACCAGGGGAAATCTAGCCCCCGGGGACACAATAAAAGTCCGTTCTTCCCAATGATCCCCGGCCCCCATGCGTAAAGGTACAGTCTCAAATCTACAGGGCTCTTTTATCGGAGACCCATCCATTTGGGTGAAAACTAAAGGCTCTGCCAACCGGACCACGCCTGCATCCAGTCCTGATACCAAGGAGGGGTTGATTAAATCTCACCCACACCCCGAGTCTATGAGACCCCGAACCCTAATATGTGTGCCCATAGTGGGGTTCATAATAGTCACTGTCATGAAAAAGAGGGGTGGATAGCTGCTCACCACTTTAGGTGCCTCCACTGCTGGGTCCTGCTGCTCAGCGCCACTTACAGCAGGACCTGGCCTTTTCCTGCCGGTTCCATCTCCTCCTCTCCGCTCGACTCATTCTCCAGCACATCCACCTCGGCTTGCAGGGCGCGGGGGGTTCTGACTTTCACCGTCCCTTTTCTTGTAAGCAAGTCGCTCTGGCGCTTGTCACCTCCCCCCCGATCCTCTTGCCTCCCCCGATGGACAGTTGGCTGCGAAGTGGCCTCACTCCCCACATCTTAGGCAGAGTCCCTGTTTCATCCATTGCTCTCTGACCGATGGCAACTGTGGGGTGGACTTTGCCTTGGGGTGGGATGGTGCCGGTGCCCTTCCAGCTGCTACCGCGTTATCCAACCGCATAGTGCGCAGTCTGCTCTCGGCGCTCTCCGCCTCTTGCATCCAGGCCGCCAAGGTTCTTGGGTCTCGGGTTCCCATGACTAAGTTCCGAATGTCTGAATTCAGCCCTAACCGGTACTGTTGCGCGAACACAGGGTCGCACCAGTCCCGGATTTTGGCCACTTGCCGATGGAACTCAGTTGAGTATTCCTGAACAGACAACTTGCCTTGTTTAAAAGTGCAGAGGAACGCTTCCGCCTTCTCGCCCGCAGTACGGTCCTCGAACCGGGCTCTTAGCACCCACATAAATGCATCAATGCTCCCCAATTCCACAGCCTTCAGGTTGGGGAGGCCCACATACCAGCTATTCGCCAGACCCCACAAGCCGGAAGCAATGAAATCCACTTGTTGCTTCTCATCTGGGAACAGATGAGCCCAGCGCTCAACAAACTTCATCACTCGTATGATAAAAAAGGAGAGGTTCTCCGGGTCACCATCAAAA